TGGCAGAACGGTTGAGTCTTCTTTTGGAGTTGCAGTTTTTGCGCTCCAGTAAGGACAGGAAATTCGCCGCGGCGCGCGCGGTCACTCGGGCAAGTTTCTACTCCTGTCTTGGACTTCGCCTTTGTTACTTGTTGGGATTGCGTCTGCCATTCTATGTGTGATTGTTGTATGGTAAGATGCGGAAACTCGTGATTCCAAAGTACTACGGTCGTCCTTCTATTGGTTTGGCTTTGTTCGGTTGTACGAATCGACCGTTTTATCACGTCTGCGTATTCCCTGATAGAGCTTTAGGAAGAAGATACGAGGGTAACATTATTGAGCAGGTAAGTTAAGGTTTTTGAGCGAAATTTGTGCAATGATGAAGTGGGTCTGTTTTCAGGTTGGAACATTTGATCCACTGCCTAATACAAAAAACGAGAAGCTTGTATCACTTAATTTCGGAAGGTTGAAGTATTGGATTGGAGAAAGGAACGCTCACATATCCGTGCCCGTTCTGGAACTTCTTGGTCAGATTTTTGAAATGATTTTTCCTCTGCACTTTTTAGATGTTATAGATTAGTCTTCCATAAGGTTGTCGGAAAAGTTCTTGCGTGTTTATTCTCCATCTTACAAACACTGGGAATCATTTTGAAACACGTGAAACTAGGTGAAGCATGCCCAATGCTTTCTTCAGAGCACGATCAGGATTTCTGATGGACTGGTTACCATTATAGAACTACCTGCTGAAAGGCAATGTTTCAGAAATTAGTGGTGGTGCATATATTTGTTAGTTGTTGACTGTACTTGAGAAGGAAAAATAAAATTGAAAAAAGAGTTGACAAATGCGCAAAGACTTTTCCAGCAGCCTAACATATGACAATGAAACATCGCGAAACAAAGCCGAACTGAATATGCAGTTATTAGTTTTACCTTTTAATTGTTGGAATTTTGGACATTTGGTTGGACTAAGATTTTAGTGTTCGCATCTTGCGCCGACTATGCGTTTCACTCCATTTTTCAAGGGATTAATAAATGCTTATTTTCAGAATCTAGCTACTTTTAGTCTTTTGCCGCCCTCTCGGCATTCTACATTAGGGCAATCTGATGTTTTGTAAAACATTTGAATTTGTGAAAAGGGCTTAGGATTCGCTGCGCTTCTGCTGACTTTTCTTCATTTGATGAACGTTGTATTTCAAGAGAAGTGTTGAGGAGTCGTAGTTTAAGCATTTAATTACAGGTTTATCTGGATTGTTTCCTATTCATCCGAAGACTTTTATCAGAGCGAGACACAACAGAGAATCTGCGTCAGCGCAAACCAAAGAATTAGGAGCTGACAGTGCGGAAGCCACAGAGGTAGCTGACGGTGCAGAAGTCACAGAGGTAGCTGACGGTGCAGAAGCCACAAAGGTCATTCCTACTTCACGTTGAATTCATACCTTTCGAGCACATCGTATCATTGTCCCTCGAAGATTTGTGAATCAAGCGGCATTAAGTGCCGCAACAAACTTGGTTGTACACACAGCATGATTTTGCATCAAGTGCATTAAAAAGCAAAAATAGTGGATGTATTGTCGTGGTGTTACCGAAACAGTTTTACAAGTATGAAGACTGCGCAAGGTGCAGTCTCTTTTCACCTTCCTTTTTGAGTCAGACTGGTGCCTTAGCCTATAGTCAAGTTCATTTTGTTGTACGACAAGGATAGCCATGCTCATGAAAAGGTCAACTGGTGTTATAATGTAATATTTGGTACATACGTGAAGGCGATCCCAGCATAAGTGGTGCTCGTGTTTGCATCCATGATTTCACAAATGCTGTCAATTAATTGCTGCTCGCTGTTGTTCACAATAATCCGCGCGAGGTGTAATGTTATTCAGCATAACTATGGATGAATGACTTCGTTTCTCGATAGCGGCCGTCGAAATTTTTTGACTCCTTGTAATTACAGCTGTAAGCATTCTTCTCTTCAGCTCTCTCTTAGGCACCTGAAAAGTGCTGTTATATGTCTGGATAAGGTTACTGCCATGGTGAATACAGCTAGAAATATGAATACGATGTGCTCCTCAGGTCTTTGTTGGTACGCATTATTGTGGCTCGCCGTTAATATACTTTTTTCAGGCTTCTTCCTAGAAGTGTTTGCAACTAAAATGCTAGTCTGTATTGGGCTCATATTTTTCGAAAGCACACTATTCTTATTTTTTATCATTATACGACTGTCCATTTCTGATAGATGTTACAACAGCACGAAAATCAACTTCGAGAACGATTCTAGTGCATCTGATTCTATATATACGATTTTTGGTATTTCTTCAAAATGTGTGGAGAACTACGAACAAGAGTCGACATTTGGTATTGTTTCAGTTCTACTCTTTTGAACTTTCAAGTACACTTTTTTACATTTGAAAAGACTGCCGACATTTCAACAAGCAAGTATAAATTCCAGGTGCCGATTATGATTATCCCATCTGTCCTACTGGTTTAGTTTCAGTTAACATTACTCCCGTTGTTCGAATTGACAACAGCAACCTGTGAGTTTCAAAATTTTCAGATGTTTCTGATCCTTCGACGGCAGCACCCTTTTCAATTTTTCATGGCCACATAGAGCCATTTTTTGAATTTTTTGTTATCAGTCCTTGCCCCTTTTATAATTTCGTTATTGATAACGAGTATATTGTTTCTGAAACCGATAGAGTTAAGATGAGTTGAGTTGTTAAATGTCCCAAATAAGTGACGAAAACGATTTCTTCGTGCAGAAACATAACGAGCAGTCGCATTACGCTGTCATCACTGTGTTCATTAAGTTCATCTGATGCCGGTCGCGAATTCCGCGCTTCCTTCAATGTCGTCAAATAAGAGAGCAGTCTAAGGGCGCATGCATAATCGGTCGTCCGGTCGCAAAATCGCATGTGTCGCGTGTCGTTACGATCGGACTATGAATGCGCCCTAATGAAAGTATATCAGCCATTAGCGTGAACTGAAGCTGTTCCAGGCTTCCTCACATAGAGCTAAATATTTCTGCTATCGTGTACGATCGTGCGAATTCCGTCACTATTCGTCTGCAATGCTTGCATGCTCCAGATGCCGAGGACATCTATTGTCATGATGCTGTGCGAATGTCGCATGAGGGAAAGTGGTTGTGGCCATGCAGAGCTATTGTTTTTCACGAGAAAGATGCTGTATCTGTAAGCTAGCTCCTCTTCTTCGCCTGCTATAGTTCTTGTGGTTGTATTTTGCCAGGCCTCTACGTCACTTTTAGAGTCCAATTGTTTTTGGATATTCGTGCTTTCGGATGTTCGGTCTTTCTCAGTACCTTGTCAACGTTACGATATTTCCTCAGCAGTGTAGGTAAGTTTTTTTTTGTTGCGACTAAAACCAGCAACATTCGAAGGCAGTGATCATAGTGCCTGGAACGGTTTTTATGACGTCAATGGATGTCAGTGATGGACCAGACTCCTTCCTGCGCTGGAGGTGTGGTTGGGACCGCCTCTCAAAGCCCTTCCACCTATGACGTTTAACGGCGTCATCAAAAGCGCACTATCCAGCCGACGTGATTGCTACTTTATCAAAGTGAGGGTTTTTGCAAGGGATAGTGTTCTCACCATTCAAGGTAGGGGCTAGTAAAGAAAGTGGTGCAGGCTTTGCGCTGCATCGCCAGACCTTTTCCGCTAGTAAACTTGTTATGGTCAACGTAACATGCTTCCCAAACGAGTTAGAAAAAAAGGACGTTTGGCTCTTGAGAGAGGGAGAGAAATAGTACTTACAGGGACAAAGGATGTGACAGTTTTTAGAAGAGAGCTGCACATCTTGTTAATTTATTCGAGAATATGTTTTTGAAATACTAGAGAAATATCAGAGCTAGAGTTGTGAGGTGTTTACTTTGTAGTGCGTCTAGCCGCTTCTGTGGTATATCATTTCTTTTAAAAATGTTCACATTTGGTATTTTAAGATCGAGCTTGCTGGTTACTTCTCCATCAGATTCCCAGCTGTCGCCGGAAATTGCGGCATATTACGCTAACAAGGTGTCTCTTTTCGAGTTTTTTTTTGTTGGAAAACATTGGACTCTTCACTGTAATGCTTGCCATCCATCACCGTGTTTTAGAATATCTCTAGCCCAGACTGGTCACCCGTTATTGATTGTTGACTTTGGTGATGAAGATGGGCTTTGGTTACGTGTCGAGGGGCCACCATCATCGCAAGGTAATTCATCACAGTCTTTTTCAAAGTAAATGTTGGGTTGTGGTTGAGTTCTTTTTTTCAGCTAGAATCATCACGGTATCAATATTTGAGCGTCACCTTGATAGCGTGCTTCGTCCACTCCAATCTGTCAACGTTATTCATCCATCTACAGGTTTCAAGGTGCATATGATTTCTTAGAAAAATAGAAAGAATTGAACTGCTAACTGAGAGTGGCTTTCTGTTATCATCTCATCCTATTTGAAGTTTTCCAGTGGCGAAATGTGGCTAAAGGGTCGTACGTTGTGTACGCATATATTCCGCGGCATGATTGCCTGCTAATTTGTGACGATGTTCCAATAAGCTCTGTTCCGTGTCGCCTTTGTGCACACACTGTCATTAATTTTACACTTCCTGCTGATCGAGCAAGTTTATCATGGAAAGGATTGCGTCGAATGCGTGACTCGAGCTCTTCTATTTTGTATGCTCTGGCTTGTGAGTTTCTCTTCTTGAAGAAACATATCGAGCGATTTGTTCAATAAACGCGATTGAAGGCAGAGGTGCGATATATTAGTCGCTGAGAATAAAAGTAGGGCCAAGAGGTGCAGCAGGAAAGACGAAAAAAGCTAAAGGGAACGGCTTAGAATCCGCAACACGGTGACCATGTTTCCCGTTGATTTCTGCGTTAGGACACCGGTGCTGAAGTCATCAACAACAAGGGTCCTCTTTACTACCCTCTCTCTGTCTGCTGAAACGGATCGAGTCCTGCGGGAATCAATAACTATGATCACCAATCGGTGGGTGAGCAAAGCCGCGAAGGGAATCATCGTCTAGAGTAGGGCTTTACGACATCGCTACAGGCGCACCTTTCGATGTAGGAAACGCCTCGTACCGCTCATTCGGGGACCTAGTTCCCTCTTTAGAAATGTTTTCCCTCTCTCGACCTACATTTTATTGTACCACCTTCCTTAAACGGAGGATTTCGCCTACATGTAAACACAAAGTGCCATATCAACAATGTATGGCATACACATCTGCATCACGTGCGTTAGGCTCTAGAAATATATAGAATTACTTTTCAAAGCAACATTCCTAGGTGGGCTCATACCTTGGCTACTAAGAGCCCTTGTCTAAAACAGTTGAAGTGTCGCCATGCGCAACCTCATTTTGGAAAGGCCACAAATCATGGATTTTGGTAGGTGCCATCCCGTCAGATCCACGATCCATCTTCGTCGGGTCCACCCACCCGTTAGCCGTGGAGACCGCGTGATTGGTTGCGTGCGCGATTGTGTGTGAACTGTAGCCGCGTTGGTCGTTGAATAATCGTATTTCGTTATTTCTATTGGTCATATGTCTCTGTTTGTATTCTATGCATATGCGATTGCAGCCGCATTTCTTGCTGGCACGAGCCAGCAATAAATGCTGGCGGAGCAAGCTAGTTCGGACAGCTCGTCCGGCCACACCCTCTCATTATTTCAAGGAGGAAGGGGGAGGAGGGGAGTCCTTATTTAGCACGTTGACGACACCGCGCGTTCTGGCTTTTTTGTGGACTAAAGCGATTCTGCGAGTGCCGCCACTTACCACCCAAATAGGTTTGTATTCACTTTTGTTATCCTTTTTATCTACATGCTCGCGTTATGAAAAGAAAACGAGGAATGAACTGAACAGACTTTTCGTAAGGTCTGGAAAACCTCTGCCAAACTAAAGAATATTTGGTCATTCTGTAAGCCACGTGGTTCTTGGTTATGTTGATGTATGGCCTATAAAATGAACACAAAAAACTTGGGAAGAAATCGGGCATGTGCGAAAAAATAAATGTAATGGGTGTGGCATACATAGTTGCCACAATGTCCGATGAGGTGCAAAAATGGCGGCATACATAGTTGCCGCGCTGTCGTCAAGGTGTTAAGGGCTTCATGGTGAGGGTATCAGTAGTTTTCTTTGTTTATTTTTTCATATGAAGTCAACTCGGCGTATCGAACACTTTTACCCCCCCCCCCCCGTCACCAAATCAATGTGGGGGTAGGGGGTGTTGCTTCACGTAAAGGGGAATTGGACCTAAATATTGAAGACTCTTGTTATAAAGTCGAAATAAGAAAATTCTAGACGTTCATTCTCGGCGGACATAATGCAAGTATCTTTGTATGATCTGAGATTAACCAATATGAAGTCTTTTCAGGTATACTGTTCGGTGTAGCATCGTGTAGCATGCTATACTTGTTTGTTTTACGAAGACGGGCACGACACACACCGGTGCAAGTGCGAGAAATTGAGCTACAGGAGAAGCCTTTGGTTCTTATACTATCGCCAGATGATTGTGCTGAGCATTCGGCAGTAATACTTGCTCTTAGTCGGGTTCTTGAAAAACACGCAGAGGTCACAGTTCTTCTGGATCATCACGAGATGAGTAGTTACGGGTAAATTTTCGATTCATTCTGGTACTGGAAACTTAATATCTACATGGTGAAGTGAATGTGTTTTGCGCAAGCATAGATTTCAAATTTCATGTTCATTTTGTTATAGTTTTCTTGATTTCTCTCGATTTAGTTGTTCGTCCATATCGCTGGCTGGTTGATTCGATTTGTCGTGCATCTCGCGTATTAATTGTTATATCACCATGCTCTCAGTTGGTACTCGACGGTCAAAACCTGAGGCAGCGACGCCCTTTCCCAGATCTCTTCGTTCCGGCAATAAACATGATTATCAGGGTATCTTTATTGAAAACTAGGTTCTATTCCGTGACTAGATATACGGAGCTTTCTTACTTGTAGGAGTGCACACGAACTGCACTTGAATAAGTATATTATTTGTCGTCTTCCTTATTCTCCAGCGTCTCCTAATCAATTGAGTATGTTAGGGCTCCCTGAAGTGGAAGGTGATTTTTCTCCCTGATTTTGTTCTGGAATTTATGGAACGACTAGAAGTCGTTTCTGCATAATTTTCTTCAAAAATTTTACTTCTATTTGAGTTTTCGAGGATGAGGTGTAAGAGGAGATTGGTGGGGTATTTCCAACTTTTTTTTCAGTTCCATCGGATTTCCCTCGCTTGACTGCACTTATTCATTCGATTGATGGTGTATATGACCACCGAATTCCATGTGACTGTACTGCCTTAGATGAATTCAATTGCGCTGTTGAGGCTATGATAGCATTGATGCAGAAGGATGTAACTTGGATGGGACGAAGGATTTGTGCTGAGGTAGGTAATACTGGGTGTTTCATGGTGACCCTACTATATAATAAATAATTGAATTCTCAAGTTTATTGGCACTAGATTCAGAACACTAACATGGAGAACAGTGTTGATGTAGTGGAAATACCTGAAGGAGACGTCGTCAGACTAAATACGGACCACGAGCGGGAGAAGGCAGCAGAAATGTTTGGTCTTTTGCCACCGGAAGAAAATGAGATGGTATGATAAGCGAAAGATACCCTTTTAGTTTATTCGTAGTAATGTGGGCAGATATTGTCCTATTTTTCCTCGTGCTTCATCTGGGGTAGGGCGCATTCATAATCAGTTGTCCGATCGTAACGATCGTTACGATCGGGTGACCGACTATGCATGCACCCTATGATAGGATTACACATATGACAGCAATCATTATTTCTTATTCAATATACTCCATTATGGCACAAAGTTCAACTTTATCCGTTCGGGAAAGAAAAAGCATTTTTAGCACCACCGGCACACTTCTTTCAGAATCCTACTAAAGTTGCTTCTAGGTGGCTGATGACTCTGCAGAATTTGCGCTATTGCCGCCGGATGAGGATTGACGTTTATTGTTCAATATGAACGCGAAGTGCAACTGTGATACTTTCAATCGAAGTCCCACCCATGCTCAATTAGTAACTGTTTTCGCTAGTTCTAGTTGTTGATTTTTCCAGTACTTTGTTGACTTGTAATTTTCATATATTGTGAGGCTGTTTTTGCTTTGTTTAGTTTTCATGTTCGTGCAACACCGCTTTGTTTTGAAGAATAAACGGTTTTGGAAACTTAAGAATGCTTCCTTATACGTGGAATCGGATTCAGATGGTATCTAAATGGGAAATGTTTTTGATTTTTATTTCCGTATGTATTTGAGAAATTCCCATGTATTCGGTAATATATTGTTTTTTTTGGAATGGGAGTAACACAGGAGAACAGGAAGAAAGAACGGCGGAAAAAGCCTAGTAGTTCTGGTGAGTGTTGTTCGAAATTTTTTCATTATTATTATTTTTTTTACTTATTTTCTTCTTCGCTGTGGAATTTCTTGCAAGTAAATTATGAATTTACCAGATTCAAATGGTCAAATTTTTTTCTGTTCCTGTTTTCTCCCTTCATATTAAATTTCCTCTTGGGCTGTATGCTCAATGTGATTCCAATGTGCCCCGGTCATTGACAAGTGTGACAGCGAAAATTTCAAGGATTTTGATGCTATATACCGCTGGCAGACTGGCTCAGCGTCCTATCGAAGGGGAAGGGGGTGTAGTCGTCACAATGATGCGCTATTCATTTGGCACCACTTATATAACGCTGGTTTAGACTCTCGTGTTGTGAAGAACAAGGACGGTCTGCAATCTAAATATTCCGAAATTGGACCGAGTGTTTGCGAGGACACCTTCGCTGTTTCGGATCACGTGAAAAGAAATGTAAGAAATTGTCATGTGCTTGCTTTCTTGTGATCGCTTAGGCTACGAAATTATAATTTTCAGAAGAGATGCAACGGGGTTGTGCGATCGTGTCCGAATTCGCCCATTAAAAGATGCCTATTGGAAGATGCAAATGGCAATAAGACCACATGTGGGGATGTGCAGAGTGGTGAACAGACTTGCCAACATTGCATCCCGGTATCATCATCTGAAGAAAGTCATTCATGCGAAAAACAGCAGCGTCCTTCGGAATCGAATGCGAACATCACACGAAGCCCAGTACCTTTGTTAGGAAATTGCCGACCACCTCCGCGCATATTTCCAACTGACGTATCTGAAGGCGGGCAGTCAGAGGATATAAGGGAAGAACACATATCACCTGATGCAGACGGATCGACGGAATCCAGAGGGAACGAAATTAGCTTGAAAGAGCAGACCACACCTATCTTGTCCATCGGTAAGGCATTTTTTCAAAGGTTTTGTTACTGATTATCCTATAGGCCATGCGCGTTTTGTCATCAATTTTTTGGAAGTATTTTATCCAGTCACCAGTTTAAATCTACGATGCATGCAATCATACGATCTGTATGCACTCTTTACAATCCACAATTGATTATTGTAGGACTCAAAAGCCCTCCCAAAAAGCCTTTTTTTTAAGCTTTCGAGTAAGTGGAAGTGAGATAGTGCAAATGCCAGACAAAGTCTTTGGACATTTGCGAGGTCATCATTGCTTTACGTGGCTAGGAAAGGAGTTTGGGAGAATTGATGCGGCGTCCAGGCCCAACCTGTAGGTTTTTTCAAGGGATTGGAGGTGTCGGTGGATGGTCGAATGGCTGAATTCAAGTCCCTAAGTTAATCCCGCGATTATTACATTTGTGTTTCCCTTCACTATCTTCTACAGAAAATTCTCATTAAGCTCAGCCATCCGCCCCTTGTCAATGAAATATCTTGGAATAAAAATGCCCTAGACGTTCACACTTCAAATTTCGCATGAAGAGTACATAGAACCACTCCATAAATAGTGCAGCGAACCAGACCGAATACAGTTGTTTGTCCTTTCCTTCCCCGCAGTGGTGAGAGGCACCATAGAAAACGCGCATTATTCAAGGGATGAACCAGTATATTTTTGTAGGTAGCAAGACACATCCGCTCTCTTTATTCTAATCTGACAATCAAGTCAAGTATTTCGTTAAGTTTCCACGCGGAGTAAAGAGAAAATCAGAAAACCTCGTCGTGTTCTTCCGAAGGTTGGCTCCAAGGAGAGAAAAGAAATTCTCGCCGAAGATGCTAGGCGACGGATGCGTGATTCGGCAAATAGGCACTCGTAAGTCACATTAATTTCCGGCATCGAGAAAAGAACCAGTCGAAGGTGTTAAAATCGATTCTTTTTAGTTGCCCTTACTGCACCTACTCGGCCCCATTTCCGAGCAAAGTCAAACGTCATATAAACAACAGACATAGTGGTGAGCTACTGCGGCTTACAATATACTTCTTTTTCTAATTGCCTGTGTTTCAAGGGTCACACATGTGCTCCAAATGTGACAAACGTTTTGATGAGTACTCTAAACTGCGGACGCATGTCGCCACAGAACATCCGGTAGTTCACCGTTGTCATTATTGCAAATTTTCTCACAAGGTTAGCTGCGTTTTATTCGCTGTGCTTCATGCCGTAATTCGGCATTCGTACGGCTAAGAACTTTTTTGACTCCAGCTACTTGCTGAGGTTCGGAAGCACTGTGTCGCTAATCATCAGAATGGTGTCCTGTGTACAGTGGCTGGCTGCAATGTGCGCGTTGCAAGGAGACGCTTGAAGTATGATTGATCTTCAGCTCAAGCATATTTTTTATAACTAAAAAGAAATTCGTACAGAGATCATTTACGAACGATGCACCCGGACAGCGTACCTTCCGCATGTCCACGTGATGTGCATTCGAAGGTTTCTTCCGCAGAGGATGCTTTGCACCTTATGTGTCCCCACTGCGACTTCATCACAAGTGATTTGGAAGATTTCAATTCGCATTTGATGAAGTGGGTAGTCCGTGCTATACATAGATTTTCACGAATTTGGACCGATATTTGGTTAATAACAATTGTTGCAGCGTTCACGAGCGGGGAATACTGTGTCCAATGCCTGACTGCACTGTTCATGTTTTACTGGGTGATTTGGAAAACCACTTGCATTCAGTCCACGAACAAACGGATGACAGCCTTCGTGAAGATTGTGGCGATGTGCAGGAGTTGGACTCAACTAGTTGTGGGTTATTTCCAAGTGTTTCTCAATTTTATTTATAGGTGGTGAAATCTTCGTGTTCCGTGCTAGGACTTCGCAAAATTGGTCATTTTAAGTCTCTCCTTGCGTCGCAGTTGTTTTTTAACAGCTGTTATGAGCATTTTATCAGTTACAACCTAATGTCGTGGCAGCATGCAACACGAATACAATCGAAATTCCCCTAAGAATGTTTCTTCAGGCTCATCAATGCCCGCACCCATGTCAAAAAGATTAGCTAGTTGCACAACGGCATCGATATCAGAATGTGCATCTACGTCAAACACTTCAGACGATCTCCCGTCAGATTGCGATGAACTTGATGTTGCTGAAAAGCCGTCTTTTCCAAAATTGAAAGGGAATGCCATTGGTCAGTTTTTCTTGCGCCAAGTATATTATTATATATTATATTTGACTGGTATTGCTCAGTCAAATTGCTATTGCATTATTCGAGAAGGCGTAGCATTTTTGTCAATGAAGGATGTTGCAAAATTAAGGTGGTGCTAATGAATCTATTTTAACTCATCTTCAGGCATGCAATGTGCTCGATGCGGGAAACAATATCGAAGTCCCTATCTTCTAAAGAAGCACATACGAAGTGTAAGCAATATAGATCCATAATTAAAAGGCTGTGAAGATAGTGAAAGAATTTTCACGGTCAGCTGGAATGTTAGATTTCTGGATTACCAGAATATACAGTTTTCTTGCGTTGTGCTGACGCAATTGTAGTGGTGTTTTAGTAGAAACAGCTCTACTTTGTTCTGTCTGTATGTCAAATTTGAAAGTAAATGAGTTTGTTTTAGGTCCACGATAAGGCATTCTCTCAGTATAGGAGAACTCGAAAAAATGTCTGCAACTGGGAAGGTTGCGGGAAGGCTTTCGCGGACTAATAGTAGGGGTTAGGGGGGGGGGGAGGAGCACAGGCTGGGAATGTGTGATCGACAAGGAGGTGGTTCTCGGTGCATTGTATAGGAGAAGAATTTGCCCACATCGAATGTAGCAGAAATAGAGAGAAGATTGGTGCCAAGAGAGAGAGTGTTTGTTGGCATCATGGTTATGGATAAGCTGATGTAATATATAACTTCAAATTGGGGACACGGAGGTTGTTTGCTGTTTTTAAGGTAGCAGGGGGGGTTGCGGGCGGGTTCCGTGAGGGATAACACGAGTACTGGCATGCAACTCTCGAGTGTAGGTGATCATTGTTCGGCAATGGGGGCGGCGAGTTTGGCGTTCATTTGCAATACAGCAGGAATTACGGCGAATTAGTGACATAGCGCTGACAGAGTTTGCTGGGGTTTGGGGGGGGGTGTGTCGAGGAGTGTTCGGTAGGGCATCACTGAATTGGTACTGGAAAGTGCTGGAATAGCTCTCTTCTGTAACAGTGAGATTTGTGCGTCTTATGGTTGTGTGGGAAGTCATCGGCGGTGTGGGAAGTGCCGCTGATTTTTGTTTTTTTTTTCATCAATTTTATAGTTGAAGTACTCGGAAGTTTTACATAGATAGAACACAGAAATGTTTAATAGTAGCTTAATAATACTAATTCCGGATTTACTTTAAGGGGGTGTTAACGCTTCCTATTTTATTGGTTGATTCTCGTTATTCATTGTTTTTGTTACTTGTTTTGCAGAATCTTAGCTTGATGAGTCCACATTCTTCCTACAACATTTTCTTTTTCTGAAGAGTTTCTAGCATTGTCTATAATATTCAACATCTGTATACCTCAACCATCATAAAATTGATTATATAGCCTTTTTTGTTATTTTTTGGTGAGGAAACATTCAAGTATGAAAAATTCCTAGCCTAGAAGTCTTGGAGTCTAGTGAGCAGGTAAGGTTGCAGAGTTGAAATGTTTCACTGCACATGCCGTCTTGGAGCTCTTTAGAAATTATCTGGTTCTGTTCTCCAATGAGGGGACTCATGGCAGCTCGAAAAGTGATGGAACTTTTCGAATAAATGTAATTGCGTACGGTTCACTAGTAGGCGAGTGAGGATTGGGTGGACCTTTTTCGAAGGACAGAAAAGTGGCTGGATCGCTGATAGAGAAAGTGCACCTTATGGAGCGTTTCATGAGTTGTGTCGAGTGGAGGGCGATTAGGGGCGAATTAGACGAATAGTGAAAAAAGTATTAGTAATAGAGTAGCGCGAGTAGTGCGAGTAGGGGATTTGATGGCGAGTTAATTATTGTGATTTATGAAAGCGTAGGACGATTAGGCCGATTTAGGGCGATTAGTACGAATTTATTTATTTATTTATACCAGTTGGCGCCGCACGCATTGCGCGCGCAACACAGATCTGTGGCGAATTTTGATGGTGCGACGAAAAATTTCAAATTTGGCTTGATACAATACGAATATCTGAATTCTCCGCTAAATTCTATGCGCTCTTTCTTCGTCAACCATTATCCTATTTTTCTCGGTCCTCGGCCCGGACAATAAATCTCGTGGCGAACTCCGTCTACTTCGGTGCGTGCCCTGCCGACCAATAGCATTTGGCTCCCTTCTTTTCGCCGACCTCTACCCCCTTTTTCACCGGTCTCTGGGACCTCTTGGAACCAAATTACGACACTTTTGGCAAACTCCGCCCACTTTGGTCATGTCCCTCCCACCATTGACAGCTGGCCTCCACTCCTCCACCCACCTCCATCCACCTTTTCCGCGGCCTCAGGGACTTCTTGGAGCCAAGTCATGAATTTTCGTCGCAAACTCCGCCCACTTTGGCCAAGCCCCGCCTACCACTGGCCTTTGACCTCCACTTTCCCACCCAACTATATCTTCTTTTTTCCCCACTCTCCGGGACCTTCTGGAACAGAGTTCTGAATTTTCGTCGCAAACTCCACCCACTTTGGTCAAGCTCCGCCCACCGATGACAGCTGGCCTCCACTTCCCCACCCCACTCCATCCACCCTTTTCCCCAGCCTCCGGGACTTCTTGGAGCCGAGTTTTATATTTTCGTCGCAAACTCCGCCCACTTTGGTCAGGCCCCGCCCACCAATGACAATTAACCTCCACTCCTCCACCCACCTCTATCCACCTTTTCCCCAGCCTCCGGAGCTTCATGGAGCCGAGTTATAAATTTTCGTCGCAAACTCCGCCCACTTTGGTCAGGCCCCGCCCACCAATGACAATTAACCTCCACTCCTCCACCCACCTCTATCCACCTTTTCCCCAGCCTCCGGAGCTTCATGGAGCCGAGTTATAAATTTTCGTCGCAAACTCCGCCCACTTTGGTCAGGCCCCGCCCACCAATGACAATTAACCTCCCACTCCTCCACCCACCTCTATCCACCTTTTCCCCAGCCTCCGGAGCTTCATGGAGCCGAGTTATAAATTTTCGTCGCAAACTCCGCCCACTTTGGTCAAGCCCCGCCCACCATTGATAGCTGGCCTCCACTCCTCCATACACCTCTATCCACCTTTTTCCGGCTCTTTAGGACTTCCCCGACCCGAATTATGAGGGCTTGTAGAAAATGCTGTACACTTCAGAGCGCGCCCCGCCCATTCTGGGCAGGCCTCCGCCCACGTCATGTATGCGGGAAACACCTTAGACATTGCTCCCTTACACCAAATTGTTTTCTGCTCTGTAGGCTTTCTCCCAACCGAGTTATGAAATTTTTCATAAAGCACTGCTTTTTTAGAGAACGCCCCGCCCACCGGGGGTGGGTCTCCCTAATTCGATGTGACTTACCAATGCACACCTTACCCACTTTTTGGCCCAGTTTCGAGGTCGTTTTGTCACTGAAATCGAAATCTTGGTCTTTCGGTACAATTCATTTCGACGCACGCCACGCCCTCTGTGGGCGGGGCTCCGCTTAGCTGATGTGTGTTTTGTATTACGTGAGACCCTGCCCACCCATCCCACACTTGACCCGGTCCCTCCAGGCGGATCCCGAGGAGCTAGGGAATTTCGTGACAGACATACAGAACGACACAGAGGGACAGACGACAGACACGAAGACGAAGCTTTATAGTAAGTAGGATAGATATATTATATATATACGATAGATTAGAGCGAGTAGGCGATTAGGGGATTAGGATTTGCACACGGCGCACTCTTTAGTCGTCAAAATTGAGGCGCACATGCATATTAGCTTCTCACCCATACACTAGACTACTAGTTGGAAAAAGCAGATCTTGTCAAAGTGTTGCATACAATCCAGATATCACCTAATCGCCTACTCGCCTACTCGCCTCGCCTACTCGCCTACTCGCCTACTCGCTACTCGCCTAATCGCCTGATCGATCGCATTCTTATTCTTTATTACATGACTTACATGTAATATAACACAAACAAAACAAAATGACAATAAAATCAAAACAAAACATAAGAAAATTATATTACACAGGACACAGATAGAGGTTGAGCTGTCTCTTGAATCCAGCTAGAGATCCAGGCACCCTTACTTTTTTGGTCATTTTGGTATACTCAGAACCAGCCCGAAAGGTGAAGAAGTTACGTCTTACGGAGTAGTTTGGCCTCGGAAGAAAGATTTTGAGCGTTTCGCCCCTAGTAGAAGAAATACTGAACTCGAAGAAATCACTAGCTTTCAAGTCAACCATGCCATGGAGAATCTTGTAAACCATTATTAGGTCATTTTTCTCCCGCCTGATTTGAAGGGACTCAAGACGAAGCATTTTATTTCTTATAATGCTACGAGGGATACTGTGGTAAGTGAATCCCAAAGCGCGGAGGAATAGTTTTCTAGTGAAGCTATTTTGAACTTTCTCAATACGATCCTTTGAAGATTTTTTACTTGGCGAGAAGACGCTAGTTCCATATTCGAGCATTGACCTTACATAAGTTTTATAAGCATGAGCGAGAAGCGAAATATCATTTGAACACAGAGATTTGAACAACAAGAAGAGACGATGTTCAGCTCTGTTAGCAATAAATCGACAATGCTCATCAAATGAGAGTTTGTCATCAACAATGAAACCAAGATCTTTGACGGAAGTGACTTCAGCAATAGGATCTCCCGACATGAAATAAGAGATGTGAGGGTTATTCGAACCGAGATGGAGAACCGTGGTTTTTCCAGGAGAAAATGGAAGCATCCATTCACAAGACCAGCGATTAACATCATCAAGAGCGGTCTGCAGAAGGGAGGGGGAGTGCTCGGTATCTACCCTTCCAAAGATTTTAATGTCATCAGCAAACATTTTGCAACTGACACCAAGCCTTAATGCTACACCGGGCAAGTCATACACATATATCGCAAAAAGAAGCGGAGATAAGACCCCTCCTTGTGGAACGCCTGAGGGGGCGCTCCGAGTAGAAGAACAACCATTATTAACCACCACTTGAAATGTGCGATTACTGAGAAAGGCCTTGATCCAACTGACAATCCTAGGATGTAACCCTACGTGGCTCAGTTTCAAAAGAAGCAGCCTGTGAGAAACCTTATCAAAAGCTTTTTGGAAGTCCAAATAAATTATATCAAGACTTTGCCTTTGCCTGCAATCTAGCGCTGAGGTCCATTCGTTTAGAGATTCCAGCATAAGTGTTTCGGTAGATTTACCTTTCCTGAAGCCATGCTGGCATGCAGGCAGTACACGGTTGACAAACAAATGTTGATCAATTCTTTCCTCAAAATACTGGCAGCTACGATAGCGATATCGGTGCTAGGAAAACCCTTGAGGCCTTTTGGATAAAACAACGAAATCCAAGTATGAATAACAGGAATGAGTGCATCTCAATAACTGCCGATTTCTTGCCCTACATCCCTCTATGTGAGCTATGATAGTGAATACGGAGCGCACTGCACGTTCCTCCTCCTTTATAAGCAGTGTGCGGTCAGTTAGTTTCACTTTCTGTTCACTCTGCAAAGCGCTGAGGGAGGCCGTTGAGCGGAACATTGGTGGAATTAAGGTGAGAAACCGTTTTTGGAGTTAGCATACTATGGTTCGCTGGTCTGAGTGTTGTAAGCTTAGCGCATATTTGTGTTGAGCGGATAGGTTAAGTTCGTAAAAGTTTCGGAACGCTTTCAGGCCTTTGAAAACGACGATTTCGTCGAAACGTCAGGCAATAAATCTTCCACCATACAAAACCTGTCAGGCACAGAAGAAATAACAGACACAAGATTCCTGTTTTGTTCATCCCTAGAAGTTCTCTAGTGCGCGCATTAGCCATACCGAGAACGTAAAGCTTGTCTGGCTAGGAGCAGAGTCCATCCCTTAAGATTTTCACTAATACGCACTTAGCTAACAATTAGGATAAAGCATCACTTTTGACAGCTGGAAGATCATAAGGTGGTTCTTTCCATGGAATTCGCTGAAATCCAAACTGTAATTTTCAACATTGAATCTTATGGCGCGGCACGTAAAGCTGCTTTCCATTACACCACTTCCACCCGTACTCTCCCGACTGCGCCTCTGCTTTCTCGCCGCACGTTGGACCTCTTGCAAGACTCCAATTTTAGATTAATTCCTTTTCATAAACCATACTAAAACGTGCAGAAAACATCTACTGAAGTGAATTGAGTCAACGACCGCAACGGTGCTCCATGTACTCTACCGTGACTCTCGAAGAAAGAAATTAACAGAGGTGCTCACCTGGGGTACAATACGGACGCACTCCGACTTGTATCAGTCTTGCTGGTATACGCCGCTCACCGAACATTACAGTATAATCATGACCCTTCATGTACCATCCGCCAATCACCAATACCTTAGTGCCACCCTATAAACAAAATAGGTAAGTACTGCGCGAAGCAAAGCAGCATGAGCTGGACTAGCACACAACCCTCTTTAACATTTGTCACAATCAAATCAGACATTGACCTTTCAGCTGTTAAAATGTCGACAAATAGTGAAAAAGAAAGCGAACCATCGAAGACATGCCCAAAAATGCACAAACCTTCACACATCCACTATTAGGCGTGATATCTGTAATGGGTGCGAGACAAGTGGATGGCTGATTATCCTGCATATGTGACGAATGCGAAGCAGGCTGAGATGGCTGAAGACTTATCGACTGAAAATTTTTAGAATCATTCAATCAGCTGATGCTCTAACAAGAGAAGACGAAAAAGGACTTCTAGTCACGCGCGATGGCTTCAGATTAGGAACATTCACTAACGGAATCACTCTAGATTGGCTCTTCAATGCCATTCCCTTGAGACCCATGACGTACGCGTCGCGTTTGGTGGAGGTAAATAAAAGTGAACACTAAAAAGGGATCAAATTCTATGAAATAATATACCAGACCAAACCTGCCCCACTTACTTTCTATTCCGCAGTTCCTTCCCAATATTTGGCGAAATGATGCCTTTCACTGAGAAGTTCACACCTTGAGCATGCCCTTTCCATCAATTTCAGAAATCGGTGTTATGGCGGGATAAATTCGACAATATAAGTCCAGCAATCTACACAGAAGGAATTCTAATTCGGGGCAAAGTAACAACTCTGCAGAAAACTCAGCTTTGCTCACGTGTATTCTATAAACACTTATATCTTACCATGTCTTCATCCTGATTACTGCTACGTTGCGTCTCTCCGGAGTGCGAACGACCATCAACAGAGTACCCAGTGAGGGTTTCTTTTACCGGCATCCCATCCATCATATTGTTCAGAGCCGGCGCACCTGAAACACTTGTAAATTTGCTAAGAACTTCGAAGGCTGTACAAAAATTTACCTCCATAGGTGACGTCCACTGAATCGCTAAATGTCGAGGGCTGCCTTCGCAAGATCAGTGAAGACAAACCTGGACGAAAGGCCGAGCTGCACGAATTACGTCGTTCCAGCTGGTGCGAAGACCCATGGTTCGACATAGGTTGACTTCGAGGGGTCGCAACTGCCGTATTTATTCCCAGTTGCGCCTAGAAAAAGGACACATGGTCAACGTGTTCACAAGAACGCAATCTATACAACAACATAGATAAGAGCCTTTCTCAAAGTGGTTTAAGGGAGAAGGGGAGGTAAAAACAACTCTCCCATACTGACTTGGTCGACGGACTACTTGAACTCGGTCCTTTAAGCCGCCTCAATCCGATGCTCTCGTCTGCGCTCTCTCGCCTTATCAGCGGCTCATGACCACTGTGATCACACACATTCAAACTTTTGCCACACTGTAATTGGCTCACCCACCCGGAGTCCTCCTCCCTACAAGGCTTAGTCCTAGAGCTCTCACCTCCTTCCTTGGGATTTGGAGCCGAGCCAGGCGCCGTTCTCTAATGTCTGTGCCCTCCGCCATTCGTGGCAGGACCATAGGAGCATGTTCAAGTAACCCGTGAACCATATTGACTCACGAGTACCACGAGTACCACGCGAACAACAAATCTATACGCTCCCAGCTCTCAAAACAAAGGGAACCTTTGAGACGCTTAGCGGTCGGATATGACAAAAACAGTTGAAAAGTGCCCAATTCGTGCTCAAAGCTCTTCCTATTCCAGTTCATGAGACGTATTCCTCGCTTATTGACTGAAAAGTCAACGGCGAACCACCAATGTTCGAGTTAGGTGAGCGATTCGCCATCCATAATTTGATAGAATGATCAACGAAAATTACAGACATATTCTCTAGTGGCTCACAATAGAAACCACTCAAAAATTACGAAGCACAGTCAACAGCTTGGGTAATCTCTCATGTCGAAGTGACCTCGAAACTGGTCACAATTTGAGGACACTGCGGCTGCGGCAACCCGAGGGTATTTAAAATCACGTTGTAAAATCAAGAAAAATTAAGTTTTAATTTTTCTGAACCTTTGAAAGCTAGCCAGTTCTGCCAAGTTCTAGTAAATGGTATGCTTACCTTCCAGTCATTGCCCTCATTGTTACAAGACGGAGAAAACCGTAGTACACTGCCCAACTTTTCACAGATACATGCGATGTCTTGTTGATTTAGCATATTAGCATCTGGAATAAAGAAGGGCGAATTATTCAAAAGCCGAATAAAGAAAAGCGAATTGTTCAAAGATACTTAAAAATTTGCCACCATAAACACAACTATACTAGAATACGCTTAAAGGGCATGAAGCGGCAAAACGCCTCGATTCCACGTAATGTGGTCTTAGCCAGCGATAATCGGACGGTTAAAGTAGCAATAACTCAAATTGTGCATGCTATGAGGCTTCCGCGAGTATAGAAATTCGAAATAATTCAAAAAATTAAGTGTGGCGAAACTCAACAAAAATAACAAATGTATTGAGATGATATGCTGTCCCCTTGTCGCAACCTATTTCATGAGTTCAGATGCGGCCTAAAGTGAGGAAGGTGACGAAGGTTTCACTACCATTCAAGTAAGAAGTGATTTAACTTGCCTAATACTTACAAGGATTAAAGGCACATCACGAGATGATGCCATCATCACGCAGGTGTGGCTACTCACTCAAAAATAAAAGTACTAATAAGAAAAAGAAAAGAGAAACAGCCTGAAACAATCGAACCAAAGGCGCTTTTTCTCTAAGTAAACGAGTCTACGAGGAAGTCTGGGCACCGGGTCGAGAGCGCATATTCGTAGATGAGAGAGCACAGAGGTTGAGCGAGACGCAGAGATCAATGCGTTCACAAAGTGGATGCGCATAGAAGCGGAAAAAAATCGACAAAAAATATAATAATAGGCTTAAAAGCGTTGCAACTCACATATTGGTGCAACCTGATCGAGGAGCTGTTGCTGACCAAGATTCAGACTGTTTAGCTTTACACATGCCAGTATCTTGTCCATAATGTTCTTTATGTTGAGCTCAGTTTCAGTGTTAAGGTAGTGCACAAGGGCGTAGTCGGGATTCTGAATTCTGCTTATTGATAAAAAAAATCATCGCATTGTTATTTAAAACGTATAAAAAGAGACATATGCTTTGATTTATGCCATCTTCCAAAAAAAAAACGCTACCATCAATTACAGAGTGCGATTTGAATTGCAAACATCTATCAAACAAGGGCTTCACCTAATCAAATGTCCTTCAAGAAGAGCGAGCTGCTCGACCTGAGACTACAGAATGATATGAGAATCTCTTCAATTGGCTTTCATCTGCACAAAAATTATGGCGCCTGGCTTTCTTCCTACCGTATTTTGCCAATTTCCACCCGTTGCCCACCGAGCGACCGGTCGTGAGATGAGACCTGAGCCATTCAATGAGATCTTCTCCAAGAGTGCAGCAAGGTGTAGAGGGACAACACATGAAGAATCAAATCACTTCAGTCCGATTTTCTTGAACCCCTCTTTTCACGGTCATGCTCTATGAACCGGGGCAAACGCTCTCGCGTGTCAAGAAGCTGAAACCTGCACGCGACGATGATTAATCCATGGACGACACGCATCTTTACGCACTAGGGGCTCAGGCAAAACGATTTTTGATTCATCTAAATGACACCAGCAGGGTAGCATGAAGTTACCGAGCGACGTTGCGCCTCTTGCAGCTCCGATCACAAGTTCGATTCGAGTGTTGCCTGTTCTGTGTACCACACCGCGCCTGTATGACATAAATCCTTCACCACGAACATCTGCGTGGACGTATCGCGCATGCTATTTTTATAATATTACGTATTACTGCCAATTTCGCAACTTTTGGGCCAGGCGTCACGTTACGTGGTAGATTCAGCAGGACACCCTCGCAGTGATGATCGCCGCAGAATGTACTCTCCACATTTCCCCAGCTTTCTTTATCAATTCATGAGATTTTCGTTGCTTCAGGTACCGAATCTCGGACTGAACCACAGCCCGCGTAATCAAGCTCTGGCTATCTCGAGATTGATTTATGGTACGAAAATAATTTAACAGAGCAAAAATTCATCTAAACATTGCTTTACCGTAGCCACTTCACTGTTTGAGCCAAAAGACACTTAAAGAGGATTCCACGATAAGATCGGAGGTCGAAAATGGGGAATATTCTATGTCGGAACGCAGGCGGATCCCTCAAGGGTGCGGGACGATGTGCGCTTCTTTGACCGTCACCAGACGGAAAGTGTCTTTCTTAGAACTACCACATGCAAGCATTTAAAGAAGATCAACCGCTCACATTTGTCAGCCAGTAAACTCTTCTGTGAAACGTTGGGACGACAGACGAGTGCGCATAATTTGCAGAAAGGATTTCTTGCTTATTCACCTGAAACATTCTACAAATGATTGAAAGCTTCATAATAGTGTATGGTACCGCTCACAAACGAGACCGCCTGGGCGATTGCTCAGGGAAAATAGATCCATTACTCTTACTCATCCATAATCAGATCAAACAAGATGACAAGATGGAACCCGTTGTATTCGATCATGGCGGGGCGAATTCGCCACTGAGGTAGAACAAGTATGCGGAATCATGGAAAATTTGCTTCATTTCAGAAAGAGATGGAGATAGGTGAGCCATTTATCAAAGAAAAACGCCTGTATGGATTGCTACCAATACCATCCGCACACAGGCGGAAAACAAAATTTAGTGGATGCTTGTCGACATTGCAAACCTAATCTAGAAACTACAATAGGTTTCCCTACAAAGACTTTATCAGCACTTACGTAAGGTCAAAAGATTTCACTACTCTTGATTATCTTAGAACTTAGGATTGACTGAAGTGTTTGCCTTTTAACACTTTGAATCCTAAGGAACTGATAAAACGAAAAACTCAAAGACAAAATATATATCAAAATTCGAAGCGAACTGATCAATTGAGCGAAAAAGTAATGAAAAAAACAAGCTTCAGCCATGACTCGGAAAATTTATCAATAACCTCAGTAACAAGTAAAGGTTTGTAGTTGTATGGAATCACCTTTAACTTCATATGATCCTCGCGTATTTGCTTGCCTTCCCGACGCTTCTTCCACTCGTATCCGTCCATCTTGAACCAATTACCATCAAACCGACAAAACATATACTGCGCACTGAAAAATGGCCCATCCTGACGGCGAAACGCAATTTGAATAAACCACACTAGGCTAATATAAGGTTGAGGAATAAGTACCCGGTTTGAGGTCGAATAGCCACTTGTTGTGTTATCCATTCCGGATGACTTGGGGCGGAATATAACAAACGGGCGATCTCCTGAAAGAAGAAAAAGCTCAAACTTCCTATGTAGTCAGCCAAAACTTAAATACAGATTGGTCTCTTTCTAAAACTGTATTATCAAAATCAAAGTTCGACTGCATTGGCTCAGTCAACGAAACCATAATCGAAAAAAAAACTTTGGCGCTCATCCGGTAAGGGGGGGGGGGGCATTGTGATGCAACGTCAAGTGGCTGCCCTCACCCCCCCCACCCCCTAGACTGCCTTCACTCCCCCTGGCTCACGGGGTCCCGTACTTCGAGAAACCTGTGCGCCAGGGGGAGTGTAGGCAGTCTAGGGGGTGGGGGTGAGGGCAGCCACTTGATGCCCCCTTACTGGATGAGCGCCAAAACTTTTTATGGCTCTATAATTAGTTACGTTGTTCTATGAGTTGGATTTCAAAATTGGCATTTTTCGGATCCTACCTCGGCCTGAAAACACCCGAACAAGTTCTAAAGCTAAAAATACCCACATTTCCATTACGCACATCAATCCTATCAATCAACCTCTTCTAACTTTCGGCTCCACTGCTATATGCCCATCGAATCAACCTCATATGCAAGTTTTTAATCCACTTCGTGAGTGAACAGTTGCGGCACCGAATGACATCAAGTTCGGCGATGTTTGAACAGTGATAACAGTTAACGTAAAGCGTACATGATTGCTATTCCACGATGAATTCGTAGCGCTGAAGTGATCGGTGGTGAATGAGGCCATCGTCGAGAGTGATTGCCCATTCTGTAGTGGAAGCGGAGCGTTTAATGGTATCATAAATTCACGTAGCAGTTCATTATCCAAATCCTGCAAATTGAAACCTGACATACGAAATGGGACAGGAGGTGAACTCCTAGAGTAACGCTATTAGGCTGGTGTCAGAGTCCGCGCGATCCGTCGCGCGAATCGCGTGGTGGATCACAGAAATCACAAGTGCCCCAATCAATACTGCGCAAGGTACTCTCCAATCCCGCCGCCATTTCTGGTTGTTAGTGATGGTTAAATGATGACTGTTCATGCATTCTACTTGTTTCATATTCAGTGTTTCAAATATTTTCAAATGGGGAAGCGGATTTTTGCGATATGTGCGGCGCGATTTCGCCGCGATGGGATTGGGCAGGACTCTGACAGCCAGGCATAATAGATTCATTATTACCGTAGAACCAACTTACTAGATGCTCGTTGAAGAGAGATTTTGCATACAAGGACCGCGTACATCACGAGGTGATCACGCGAACATCACGAGGGACTCGTTTCGGTTGACTAATTCTGATATTTTTCATGTTTCAAACCTACCCATTTACGTTATGAAATCCAAAGTAGCACATTCGTCACCGACAATGGAATTATGTTGAAGTAATGGGAGAGATTGATGCAAGAAAACACCTGAGAAAAACGCACGCAATAGCGGCGAATGGCTATGTGTGTGAATCAAACAGCCTGCAACAGTTCATTTTGGAACTGCTCATCTGCCAGAGCAGTAAAGCCCATGAAATCGATAAAGAAACGCTAAAACCTAATTCACCAGAAAGTGATAAATATGCATGAAAACTTAAAAAATAATGTTCACAGTTGTGAGTACAAAGTGAGGTAAATCTGAATATTTTACCATAAAATGATTTAAGAGGGGGGCAATAAAAAAGAAGTGGAAGGAGTGGAAAATTGGGAAACAAGGCTCTTGGAATTGCTAGAAAAAAAACTCGTCCCTTGACGGCGAAAAACACACTCACCAACAAGTGAGGTGCTCCAGAAAAGACAACATTTTAGCGATGCGGTAGCCGCTAGGCCGTGCGCCGTTAAACCCTTTGCCTACTACGACGACATTTTTTTTTTGGCTAACCATGGAGGTTTTCCAGGGAACGTCCTCCTTTCTCGAAACGGTCCTTCGCATGAAATAGAGATACATGCATGAAACTGTGGTTCATTTTTCCTGAGCGACCCTCTGTACCAAGAAGTGGACGAAGAAAAATTCTTAAGGAACTGCCGTTTTGGACATTACTTGTACAGTTTTTTTTAGCCTAAATTCCCCTGTAATTAAAAGGTTGCTGATGGACCTAAATATAGGGATGGTCATAGGTTAATACGCTGGATTTATTTCTTCGCGGCATTTTGAAGGACGCAACACAAATGCAAAAGAAGTTGTGCACTGCCAGATAGGATTCGAACCACGGACCGACTCATCACACCTTTTTCGTATTCCAGAGTGTCGCCCAGTGGAAATGAACTAAGTTGTGGGCCCTCACACACGGACCGCTATACCTATGGCCAAAAAAAAGCAGTTCTGACATTAGCTCTGAAAGAACTTCCCTGTAAGTGTACACAGACAAACGAAACCTTATTCTACTAATATACCCTGATATGGCTTCATTGTGCTTCGTTGACTGCTGCTTTTTAGCATCAGTTCGCGATGAAAATGTGATCACAAGGAGGCTGGGTTAAAGGTAGAAAGCAGGGTTGAGTGAAAGGGTGCGTTGGTTTGCCCATAGTCCAGCATTCTTTTAATATGCTGATATATTTTTTCCAAAATGCGTGCTTATATGTATAATCGTTTTGATCTTTTGCTTCTTTTCCTCAACGTAAATTGATCATACCTTGAAAGCACCAAAATAAAAATAAATAAAGGTAACAATATTCGCAAACTAAGAAGTTTATGGTATCTGGAGGCAGTGTTCAAGAAATTTCAACAACTTTCCGCAGGGAACAAAAGCAAAAATCAATTCAAACTTTTAAAAGAAAAGATTTAAAAAAGTCATAACATTCGATTTACTAGTCTCTACCTATATCGACTGCTTCATAAAGAAATGGATTGAAAAAAAAGTTCGAAAAAAAAAACAACCTCAATCATCGTTGAAGAGGAGCGAATGGTAGCAGTGCGTTAAGCGAAGTGTTCAGAGCATTTAGAGAGCAATATTTCCATCTGATTAACATTCACCGCCACCACATCACGCAACACAACATCGCCGAAACCTTTGCACTTTAACGCCAGGTTTCAGAAGAAACGAGAGAGCTCATTATGGCTCCGGGCGGGCATGGTAAGCAAGTTGGCTCCAATGCGCCCCATTGGGAAGGAAACGAGGGGCATTTTCCGACTAAAAAACAAGAAAGCAGGAAAATGCTGCCGGGAACGAGCGAATTTCGCGAAAGGAGCGATGGGCGACTCCGAAGCAAAAGTGCATGCGATATAATGCGCATTCAAGATCAGAAAATGAGAATTTAATAATTCAATGTTTTGATCTTTGATGATTCGTTTTCAAATATCATGGCTCAAAATCAAGGTCTCAGAAGTATTTGAGAAGAGTCCGTACCTTCTACCTCCGCGCGCGTGATGTGAGACTTTTTATTATGGGATGGATTCAAAGGAAACAATAAATAAAGCCATTGGTTACTCGTCTGCGTGCTGTTGGTGGTGCCACGATGAAGGGTTGGGTCTTTTCAGACGGAAACATGAATGAATCACGAACAATAAAAGTTGAAATTATTGAAAGTCTGTCTTAAAACCCTGACATAAGCCGTCCGCCTAGGTCTTGAGACGGATTTTGATTACTCCAACCACTTTTATTATTCATGAGTCATTCATAATGTTTAACCAAGCACAGCATCAAAGGGTTTAGATACATTAGCAAAGGAGGTAAGCAAACCAGCCCTTTTGGCGTTTCTGCTGGGGCCGTATGCTGAATGTTGGGGAGGGGATGGGGTCCCCGAGGTCGACGGACTACTTGAACTCGGTCGGTACGGTAGGAGAGTGATGACGAAGTGGTGCAGCTGGTCCAGCAGCTCCGCCAGAAGGGCTGGTTTGCTTACCCCAGGACTAAGCCTTGGAGAGGGGACGGACCTCTTTAAGGCTTAGTTCTGAGGTAAGCATCAAATTGTGGCGGTTTAAGGACCGAGTTGAAGTAGTCCGTCGACCGTCGGGACCCCATCCCCTCCCCAACATTCAGCATACGGCCCCAGCAGAAACGCCAAAAGGGCTGGTTTGCTTACCTCCTTTGCTAATGTATCCAAACCCTTTGATGCTGTGCTTGGTTAAACATTATGAATGACTCATGAATAATAAAAGTGGTTGGAGTAATCA